ATAAATAAATATAAATATAAAAGTGGACATTGAAGTCAACACTCAGAGACGACAGTCTGTTTCATGCTAGACGCAATTGTCAGGCTGTGAGTGTTGGATTTTTTCTCGACTATTTATATATATGGGTCAGTGGTGCATTGTGGGTAATTTTGGTGGGAGTGGCTTGTTTATTTATTTGTTTGGGTACTTGTTTTTTATTTTCATTTTTTATTTTATATATTTATTTATTCTTTTCAGTTTTCAATGTTTTATTAACATAGTAAAACATTTGGTGGGATTTGCTTAGGTAGCTTATATAATAGTTTGTTTTGGTCTGGGAGGATAATTAAAGCTATTTATTTGTCCAATTTTTAGATCGATTGCCATAGTCTATTCTGTTATTTTGGCAGGGGACAGTTTTTAATTTATTTATTTGGATTGATTATTTTTACTTGCTTTTGCTTATTTATATTTATTTTTATTAGTTCTAATTGTTTTTTTAGTGGGAGCAATTTGTTTATTTGTTCATTTATTTATTTATTTGGATTAATTTTTACTTGCTTTTTCTTATTTATTTACTTATTTTTTATTTTGTATATTTTTATTTACTCTATTCGGTTTTTGATTTTTGAGTAATGTAGTAATTTTTTTATCATTATATATCACTTATAGCTATTTTTACGTTCAATTTTTGGATTGATTGTTGTAGTCTATTCTAACGGTTATTTTGGTGGGATTGGTTTGTTAATTTGTTTATTATTATTTACTTTATTTATTTATTTGGATTATAAATAAATAAATAAAATAAAACAAGTAAAAATTAGCCCAAGCTTTGTGAGATTAAAAATATAAAATCTATTAATTCTTTAGAAATTGCTTTGGTTATATTTAGGATATGAAACTGTACAGATATGTGTGCTTTGAGAAATTTGAATAAGTCAGTATGCTTTAAAGGCAAAAATATAACTTTCTATTCATCACACTACCTGTGCATGAGAAATTGGAGAGCCAAGCTCAAAATTCCAGGTGAGTTTCTTACATTCACTTATGTGGAAATACCCTTGGGAAAAGTATGAATCCACCTCTTCCTCTCCTCCCTATTGGTTAAATAGTAGAGCATGCTTTGTTCTGTAGCCTTGGTTAGCAACTAGTCTAGGGGAAGGACAAGTTCAGCTTTTATGAATTGAATGTGAACATATAATAAGTATTTCTCTCAGTTAAGCTTACTTTAATATCTAACCACTAAAAATATCTTTCTTCCTGATTTTCAATGTACGACATACACATTGATTACTGAAACTGCTGAAATAAATTTCAGCTGTTAATTTGCAAAGTTCATTGTTTAATCATCAAAATTCTTTCCCTTATTGCCAGCAATATTTATTTTTTAATTTAAAGTCAATATTTATTTTGTTAGTAGAAAAATGACTAAAAATGGCAAAGAATGTGGGTTGAGATAAGAAGTGCTCAAAACTTAACAACACAAATTTGGTTCAAATGCACTTAATGTTAAATCTAACTGGGATTAATGTTTGATTTTTTTTCTTATTTGTGTCGTAACATCTGTAAGCAATAGAGTAAATATAAGTTTTGATTTATTTGGTTGATAAATCCTATCTGATGATTTGCAATACATTTTTCCCTATGCTTTTAGCATATGTCACTATCTTTCTTTCTCTCTCTTTATATATATATATAGGGCGAGAGATAGAGACACATTAAATGCTAAAAAGCATAGATAAAAATGTATTATAAATTATCAGATCAGATTTATTTAAATGAATAAATCAAAGCTGGCATTCACTTATATATATTATATATATATATATATATATATATATCTTTCTTTATTTAAATATATCTTTTTAGTTGTATGAAATATCCATCCTATTTTATTTGTGTGTGTGTGTGTATATATATATATATATATATATATATATATTCTCAGATAATAACATATAGCACATACATTGAACACACAACCACAACTCTCTCATGTCATCTTATATACCATCTTAATGACACCAGCACCATAAAAAAAACACCTTAAATCACTGTACCAATAATAACAGGTTGAAATCTTCCAAAATAAGAAAAATCCTAATCAACAATACCAATTTTCTACAAAAACAATTGCAAAAAACACTCACAAATTCTTGAAGCTATCACAATTAAAACAAAAACCCAACTTAAATAAAATAGGATTTAATACTGGCAGAAACATCTTAAACATATTTAATAACTAATCCTCCAAATAATAAATACCAACCCCCGTCAAATTGCTAATGAACTAATCCAACAACACTGTCTGAATACCCCTAAAAATTATCGATAAAAAATAAAAATAAAAAGCAATCCACTTTAAACCAAAACATACAGCCATGACAATAGTTGATGACAACCAAAAGCACTCAGAAAAATCCAAGAACTGGGGTCTTTTTTTTCAACAACTTAGACCCAAATATAAAGAAACTTGTGATAAAGAAAGAAAAAACTGAAAGAAAAAGAAGAAAACTGAAAAAAAGTTTATTAAATGGAAAAGTTCCATAATCTTTAATAACACATACCTCAATAATGACATGCTGCCAAAATATACATATATAATAACCTTAAGGTATTGGAGGCCATTTATATTAAAACAGAGCAACCCACACTCAACAAAAATACATTTAAACCAGTCACAACATATTACAATGCATTTAAACACATGGTTCTGTTGATAACATTTCTTTCCCATGTGGTAATATATGACGTCATAGAACCACATTACGAATTTATGACCTGTGTCTGCTATTCTGTGACCACTATCGTCACATAGCAAACTTCTATGTAAACATAACAGGATGTCATCTTTGATGTTGAATATCTGTTGTAATGTGCATATAACCACTCTAAGGATAGCTCATGTGAGCTGGATGCTTAGATTGAGGAACAGAATAATAAAAAATATCCAAATGTTGGACAGTTTTGTTTATTTTCTCCTGAAACTAAAGCCACTATACAAAGCTTAGAATGGTTCATGATCAAACTTAATAGATATTCATTGTCTGTTATATCTAACAATATATGTTTGAATATATATTTTTAATCAATTCACCCCCAGCAACATGACAATGCCACTAATACACAAGGGGCTACAGAGAGTGAAACTGAATGAAAAGACTTTATAAATTACTGGAAATCCAATGCTAAACAGGAAACACGTGATAAACCTTGACTCCTGTTCAAAAGATTGGACAGGAGTGTGAACAGGATGATAGGCAAACCTATCTACTCCTATTATATATACAGGGTGCGATGGGTATATTGTCACCATTTTATATTTTTAATTTCGTTTTTTTTTTTTTTTCGACTGCACAGTATAGTAGGGTCAATTGGGCACAATCTGTGAGAAAAAGAGCACTATGACACAATTCACTTTGTCAGAAATTTGGAAGCAGCTTGCTGTACTGCTTGGCATTTGTGCCAGAAGCTCCAATACAAACATTTCAGAGTGTCTGGGTGTCAATCTGAGGGCAGTGCAGAGGATTCATAAAGATTTAGATGATATATCCAGTCAACATCATGATGTTTGAAGTGATCACTAGTGATGGCGATGTTATGCATCCATCCATCATCCCACAAAGCCTGAGACTCAACATGAAGACCTTGAGGAGATAGTGCTGACCTGGGTCAAGAGGGTGGCTGCTAGAAGACCCTATGTCTGACAACAGGACTCTGCACTATGTCACACAAGCAGGGAAACCCAGTTATAGATGTTAGACAATTTCTGCGACCACATCACCCTCTTATATCTGACCACCGAACTCCTCAGACTGCAAGTTCCTTGATTATTATGTGTAGGGTGCAGTTGAGCAAGATGTCTACAAAACTTCTTTTAACACCAAAGATAAAATGAAGGCAAGGATTATGGCAGCATAAAATCCCTGGGCTTTGTAACACAGATTCAAACTACAGCAAGCAATAACTCAGTAGATACGCCTAGACATAAATAGCAGAATGAGAACACTGAGAAATAAAGAGATCAGATTGAAATTCCCAGGTTACCTGGATTGACAGATACACGGATACCTGAACAAAGCCAGATGGCATAGTAATCAATGTTATGATAGTAACAACAAAAGTAAGACTATTGCCAAATGGTATATATATATATATATATATATATATATATATATATATATATATATATATATATCTTCCAATCCAGATAACTTAAATCTAATTTCAAAGTGCTTTAGGTCATTGTCTTGTTGAAAGATTTACTTTCAACCTAATTTTCAATGTTTTGCTGAAGACCTCATGTTTTCCCTATGGATTTTCTTCTATTTTTCATTATTTCTTCAACTTGGGAAAGAGAATAACACTAACAGCAAAAAACACCATCATGACATTATGCTGCCATCAATATCCTTTCTATTTGAAATTGGTATTCTCTGATTAAAGATTCCCTAGGCTTTCAGAAGACATAATTCTGGTCATTGTACCCAAGCATGTCAAATTGATTTTCATCCAAGCATAGCACACTTTCCCAAATGCTTTGGTCTTTGTTGAAGTTATCATATGCAAATCTTATGCCAACATTGACATGCTTAACTTGCAGTTGTAACTTTTCCTCTAGTTTTTTCTTCATGACCAAGTACAGAACCAGTAGACTTTAATATGCAATGCTCAAATGGTCTGGAATATTGCAGCTGTTTAGAATTAGTTCTTAATAGCAATAGTATTATGGCGTAAAAGTCCTTAAAAGTTCAAACTTTTTGAACATTGATTGAACCAGTCCTACTGTATGCATCAGAAATTTGGACATTATCTGTTTGTATTGAAAGACAACTGGATGAAACATATACAAATCTAGTTAGAAAAATCCAGAACATCAGGTGGAGATCCCATGCAATGCTTAACACAGTTTACAGAAAACTGTGATCAATCTCTCTTAAGCTCAAACACAAGCAACATCATGATGTTGACTGGATATAACATCTAAATCTTTACGAATCCTCTGCACTCTCTTAAGCTCAGTGACACAAGGGTTCCTATATGATCTCCAAAGTTAAGCAACATTGAGCTTGGTCAGTACTTAGATGGGTAACTGCTTGGGAATACAAGCTGCTGTAAGCTTGAAAGTCTGGATGATGTAATGTATAATGGCTTGGAATTGTTAATCAGAGAGCTGAGTTCCAGTTCCAAGTTGGGTTTGTGATAATCATTTACAAGCAAATACTCTTGGGAAAGTTATGAATCCACCTCTTACCCCCTAGCTATGGGTTAATTAGTAGGACTAGTATTACTAAAACCATTATTATCTCCCCAAAAATAACATTGCATACAAAATATTTAAATTACAGCATTAAATAACCCATAGAGGTTGATATGCTGCTAACCAAAAACAACCAACTAAAAATAACTAAACTTATTGTTTTAATGACACTTTTTTTTCAAGAAAAGATAATCAAAGATAGCTTTCGAATTTTTCCTATTTTTACTGATTGTTATTGTGTAACTCTCATTACAAAAAAATACATTTTGGAAAATAAAAATTTGTGGTATTATATCAATAAATACCTCACATTCAAATTTCACACCAGGCCATCAAATGGAGTCAGGTGTAACAAAGAGTTGATCTTGGGTTACTCCCAGCCACTGAATGCAGAAGTATATGACCTCACATCTGTATCAATCATGGCAAGTGTAGGAATGAAAATGTTGGACAGTTGGATATATAAACAACAGCCACAGGCAGTCTCTCACATGCAGCAGGTGGAGAATGTAGTCTATGTGTCAAACTGGTGAGGGTAATGATGGAGGCTAAATAACACAGACTGGCCAAGAGTAACTGACAGAATATTGGCATGAATAAAATGTTAAGTAATAAAGATTTAAGTTTTGTGTTATCATTTAAATGGCATTTCAATTCATTGCAAAGTTTTTCTGTAAAAATAGTAAAATATTAAGTGATTTTAGGTTAGAGAATTCAGCTGGATTGAGAAGAGAGAAATTCATGCCTTTCCCAAGGGTATTAGTTCAAAGTGAATACAATCAATCTCAGCTGCTATTTGAACTTGGCATGCCAATTCCATTTTCCATGTTGTTAGCCATTAGGCTGCCTGCATCTTCTTTTAATCAAATGCTGAAATCAGAAAAAAATAAATAATAATCAATTGGGATTAAATTTCAAAAACTGGAAAATGTTTGGAGAATTTTTTTTACTTAATTACATATTTAAAAGAAATGATAAATATTTATAATTTTTTTTTATTATACAATAGCAAACATAATTTCTAGTGCCAGATAAAGTTCAAAAGTTACCATGTTAACTACATTGTATATAAAAAAAGAATTCTCTTTCAAGAGAATATAGACTCCCACCTAAAATATGTGTGAATGTTATTAAACAATCAAATAAAATGCTAAAGTAAAGATTATAACTCTTGCTTAGATTAAAGCTATGTAAAAGGCAAGCTGTTGTCTTTCATTGAGCTTCAAACAATTCAATAGTTTCTTTGAACTTAAAATCAAATGCATTAAAAAACATAAATTGAAACTGAAGTATTTTTTTTTTTTAAACTTGACTCATCACTATCATCCCATTCCCTCTCTGCAACATTTTTAACATTTCTGTTTTTAATTTCTGTCTACTTTCACTTGATAATGGAGACAACAAATACATGGTTAAATATTAAAAAAAAAAAACGTTTATCATTACAATCATTCAATGAATTTTCCTTTATTATTGTTTTCATCAGTTCAAATATTATGATGGACATAACAAAGGAATGTGACTGTTCGTCTGAGTAATTGATTGATTGGTAAGCTCTTAATTAAAGGTTTCTGAAAGAAACTCAAACTGTTGAATAGTTCTTGTAAAAAAAATTGATCTCTGGAAATTACAAAGAAATGCTGAAATAAGAAACATGCAATGATCTTCAAATATCATGAAAGAAAATTTTTTAAAGAATGGATTCAAAAGGTTAAAAATATTCAACTTGAAAATATAATAGAATTTCATTTTTTAGTTTTTAGATAGAATGCTTAATTATTTCATAGGATGGATTTGAATAGTTAAAAATTCAATATGGAAATGTGATAGTCTCCAAAATAAAACATTTCATTTGTGGATGTTAACAAGCTTGTAGGTGTTGTCTATATTTTTTAAGTGAAGGTTTGTGTACAATATATAAACAAAGAAGATAGGAGAAGCATTGAGTTTCTACTATGGATCTTTATATTATGTTGACTGTATTGAAAAAAAATTAAATGTCTCTTGACTATGTCTGTTTTCCTTTTTGGTTCAGAAATTATTTATGGGAAGTAGGGATAAGAATGGGTAAAGATGGTCCAGCTCAAGTCACCCTTGTGCTGAGTTGGGATGGCTAAATCTCTACTTCATGAGTAGGGCGCTGAAAACATGTCCAAACGATCTCATTGGAAAGAGAAAGATTCTGTCCTTTCTGGAAGTGGGGTCATGTGACCAGAAATTCCATTCTGGTTTCTTTATAAATGCCATTATGGAAAAATGAATTTATTTTTTTTATTCTTTATTATTATCTTTTATTAGTTTTATTTCATTTTTACACACATTTAACCATTTTACTATTTGAGAATGGAAGACTGGCAAAGTAGAGGAATCACACGTAAGTTCAAGAATATATGGATGTAGTATTTTGGAGGGTAATTCTTTTGTTGGAACTTTGGGAATAAAAACAAACTGACTCAAGAGTATAAGGTATAATCAAGTATTTTTATTTTAGAGTGAGTCCTTTGATATTCAGTATAGAAAAATGTTTGTTAATAAGGTGGGTATTGGTAGCAGTCTGGAGAAATGTCTGTTTTGGCTCGTATTCGACAGTTTGGAAAGTCACCACTTGGTAACAGTTGTAGTCATCTTAGAAACAGATCAGCATCAGTCTGCTGTATTTTTCTCAGTCCTAAGCAGAGCAGAAATATCATTAACAGATGACCTCTTAATTACCTTTACATGCGTTATGAATGGCTGGTTTCTCCACAATAGTATTGTTTTGTCATTACTCTTGTTCTCCCTCTTACTTCTACCTCAGAGGTGTCAGCTTATATCCTTTTGACTGGGCTCCATGACTTTGGTGTGAACATTGGTTTCAGTTAATATCAAAATTCTCTTTGTGCCAATTTTTTTGATTGGCTCAAATTATTTTATTTACTGGCATTTTTTTGTTTTTATTTTTTTTTATAACAGAAGTTATGCAACAAGCCTCCATGATTTCTCTTAGTTTTCAGTTATAATTTAATTGGTTCCCTTCCTGAAAACTTCTGGTGTTTTTTGGCTGGGTTTAGGCTTTTCTTCTTCCTTTTTTTATTTGAGGTTGCCTTCTTGTTAGTTTAGAGAGAAGTATATAGAGAGAAGGAAAGAATTAAAAAAATTTTTTTTAAATAACAATAACATAAGCCATAAAAAAGAAATCAACATTTTTTTCAGTCAGTATCCAGCAGGCAAGGTAGTAATGCCACTAAAACACAAGGGATTACAGGGTGTGGAAGAATTAGGTACAGAAACAATAATGATGAGCAGAAAGAGAATAATCAGGAGGACAGTAAATAGCTATTGACATTGTATTTAGATTTTTGGAGATTAAAGTTGGCTGGAAAGCATGGGGCCAGAAAGGAGTTCCACAAGTGAGAAGTGTGAGAAAAGAAACTGTTGCATAGAATTTATGGCTACATCTAGCCAGCTTAACTGTAAATTGATGAGATCTCAGTACCAGTCTAGTGCTGCACTTAAATTCAAAAAGACTAGATACCATAGCGAAGGGCTCATCTGAACAATTACCATGATAGTATTTGTAGAAAAGACATAGAGAATCAACTTTATAGTGGTGAGAAAGTGATTGAAGCTGAGCTGCCAGATCAGGTCCAATAATATTGCTGATTCTTCTTTCAATCTTATCAAGAAGCTCAAGGTAAATATCAGGGGTACAACTAAAATCAATCAAATACTATGCAATTATCAATGTTGTAAGCATAGTTTCAAACTTGATATTTGTAAATTAAAGCAACATACAAATTTACTCTTTGAGAAATTCACCCCCTATTTCTAAAATAACAAAAAAATCAGTATTTAAATTCTGAAGAATGTCATGGATAGCGGAAGACCTAATGAATATTACAGTACTATGAATACTAATATCTACAAGAATTATTCCCTTAAAAATTTTCCTTATTTTTTACAATCAGATCAGTCAATTTAAGTAGTACCAGAAAAAGAATTTAATGTTTCACTTTTGTCTAGGGATAAATAACAAGAAAGACTTGGATTTATATCCTTGGTTGGCAACCAGTGTAAGAGAAGGTATACTCTGAATTCAAACCAGCTTGGAGAGCCATCTTACTTAAGCTACACCACTGCTTCTACAGCTGCAGTTCATTTGGTACCCCTAAGAATGGGTTATGGAACTTGTGATCATTATCAAACCAATGCTTTATGCATGCTTAAGTTTACACAATTGACAATGATAAGTTATGAATTTTATTATTTTGAGCATTTTTAGATCTTTTGTATTTCTTGTTTTGACAAGTTTCAATGACTTATCATAATGTTATCAGTTTGCATTGCTAATAATAATCTCCTTTTAGTGATAAAGATTTTATTTCTCTAGTTTTACTTAATCTTTTTATATTATTTTAGAGTGAGCATTGTACTTATGAAAATAAATGACAGGCTTATTCACCTACAAATTGGTCTTTATTTACAATATTTAAACTCGGACTATTGTCCTCATTTTGTCCCTTTGACCATTGTCCTCTGACTTTCTTCTGAGCAGTACTAAATAACAAAAGTACATAGTATTTTTTTAAGTGAATTTCAATGACAGTATTTAGATACATGTACATAGATTTATTCAATTACTGTCATATCATGATGAAGCACTGGTTCCTGTCTGATCAAGAAGTTGGGTATGGTCAGTACCTAGATTTAGTTATATATTCAGTTAAAAGTAAAATAAACTCATCCTTGATAATGGCTAAAGGTATATCAGAAAACACTTGCAAAACATTCAAACAATTTTTATATAGTTTGTGCCCTGAAAAGAGGAAAATAGTATGAACACATGAGAAATTATATAAAAAAAACTCAAGCACAGCACC